AATTTGCAATTAAGAATATCAAAACTAATTGTAGCCTACCTCAAAGTCCGGCCTTGATTTTCCCTTAATCAGTTATTTTTCCACTTAATGACGTCTAAGTCAATTGCTTCTCGATTATGTGTGGTGTGTGCTCAAAATATCCACATGAAGGGTAAAAAAGCGAAAGTGTGCGATCTAACGACATGTCATCCGGTGCGTGGGGTGTCATGGCTAACATTTTACCAAAAAGCCACGTAAAGGGATTGACATTTGGCACTCTTCGATCCGCATCCGCCTTGTTATTAAAAACTTCGGTAGGGCGATTTTTCATGAATACGACAATTTATAAAAATGAAATTCAAGCTAATAGGTAGCCTGTTAAAATGGTAAAGCCTAACAAGAAAGTTGTTACTCATTAGCTATAAGTAGTCAACCTCAAATTTTTTACCTTGGTTGCGCTGCTGTACCTCTTTCGGTGGTGAGTTAATTACTGCACTTTTTTAGTCCGCACTAATGCTGTCTTCTGTTCTAACATAACCTAAGACTAGCATCAGGTAAACATCATAGGTCTTTGTGGAACTCCACTTTCTCAGCTTTACTTCTACTTGAGTTCTTGCGGTTGTGGTCACACGATCTGTGACTTATTATCGCGAAGCCATCAGCAGTCTCCCCAGTTTCCACTTCTTTTGATGATAATTTTCTATAAAGTACACCGAGGTAGCCAAAATGCTTTACTTTTAGCGAAAGAAACGGATTAAACCACAATGGGAACGTACCAAGTGGTGCGTAGGCGGATACATTTAACACTATGAAGACGAGGAAGGCACAAATTGCAAGGACGATGGTAGTGATTATGTAGAGGATGAAAGCGTGGCTTCTGCGTCGTGCCACTACCAACATGACACCAACAAGAAGGAAGACTATTGATACGGTGGCTGTCCTGCTCACATCCCTGGTCACAGCGAGCAAAACCATTGTACCATCTGCCAAAGAGAGCAATGAAACAATGGCAGCCTTCATTTTTGTTTTATTTGTTTTGGATAAAATAGCAAAACTGGACATTACTCACCGTAATTTTATTCCATAATATGAGCCCTTTGCTAACCTTACTGATACGATAATTTTGCAAACCTTTTAGCACAAAGTACTACCACGGGAATCAAAAAACATAGATTACACATTTAGTCCTAAGTATGAAATAAGGATAATAATTTAGCTGTCGAAATGTCATGTTTTGTTGTTTTACTTCCAGAGACCGGCTAAATGGCATTATGCAAAAGTCTCGCTTGCTCTACGCATGCGAGAGACGCCTGACAGGTAACACTTTTAATGAAGAAAAAGTGTCCTTTTGAAGTGTTACGAGGTCATGAAAATAACACCGAGAAGTGTCTAGAAAGGTAGAAAGGCAGCTATGTAATCTCTTGCTAATGAACACCTTTGGATGTCGACAGTGATTATGCACCTGCTCTGGTCACCTTGCTTTGTTGTTCATGTTGAAGCAAGACGTAAAAGAGGTGTCATTGCGAGTCAATAAAAGAGCTTGCCTTCAAGCCGCTTCGTGTCATCATTGCACACCTTTTGGTTACTAAACGAATTTGATAGACAGTTTTGGACTGTCACCAAATAGAATGTGACTTAGTTACTGCAAAAATTATGTTACACTTGTTTGATACTGAAATTTCAATTAATTGCTTGCATTTTACAGAACTGTGGCCTTAGAATTCAAAAATTAAAGTAGCACAAATGAACCCTTCTGATTGCGATATGCGCTTACTAACAAAACATAAGTAGTATTGTTTGGATGGCTCACCAGTAATGTTGACCGTGAGAATGTAGAGGCTGGTGATGAGGCTGATAGTGATGGTTAGAATGTGAGTAACGACGCCGAAACGATGGCCAACAAAACTGGCAATGGTGGGAGCTCCTGGCGCTTTGGTACGAAATTCTAACAGCAGCACCACGAAGATCGTGTGAATCAGAGCGAAATTCACTGGTAGGAATACGCTACCCGAAATCCCGTACTAAACCAATAAGCACAAGTTTACACATCATTAATGCTAGCCACAATTTCACACTTCTCATGTGTGGAGCTGTCGACGATGAACCGTCATCTTTTATTTCACAGATGAGTGAAAAGAAACTGACAGGTTCTTCAGCACCTTGTGCAACTTGGATTTCTAAACGGCCAGCTACCTATGGCTTCTGAATTTTGCGGCTCTCTGACGCATAGGAGACTTAACTTCACTCTCATTTTAAGTAAAACAGTAAATAAGTGGATTTAAGCAAGTTTGTACACATTGCACTAATGAAGAGATGCATAGAAAGTTTGCTTTGTCACTTTGATATGACCAAATGTTGGCAAAGTCGCATCAGACTACACCTATCGGACCACATACTCCTCCCTATGCATTGAAGGCGCACTCCCGGTCCAGGCATACATTCAGAAATGGCGTTTAGATGGCAAAATTTAACTCCAATCTCCATAATGCTAACCTTAGTTGTCAAGTGACACAAAATGCTTTTAGGTAATAAGCAAAAGATGAAGCCGCCTCATGTTATCACCTTTTCATAAAGGTGATACACTTTTCCATAGCATCGAAATCCATCATTTATCTACACTTTAGTCTAGGCAGTGATTAATTGTTGAGTTCAGCTTATTTGTGAGAGTGAAGTTGGAGTAGCCAATGACAGTAGACAAAATGATGAGACTTTACCAATTCTGCATTCCTCACCGACCCCAGAATTGACGTCGGCCTAGTAATTTGTGTCATGAAGTTGGTGACGACAATACCGAGATTGTGAGGTCTATCAGGACTGCATGTGAAACCACTTTGAGTCCTCGTCTAGATGGGGAAAGGATTGACAAAAGACAACGTTAGCGTCGTGTCTTGACAATGGAGAACTGAGTCATCAATGCGTCTTTTCACTTGTGAAGAAGTCGAGTTCGTATGTTGTGGAGCTAAAGAGGCATGGTTGCACACACTAGCAACAGAAGCTATGCTTCCATTTATTTCTCACAAGAGACACATACTTTGGCTTTTTTTATGCAAACAGAGTAATCAGGCACATCTTTCTCTGGCTCACTGTCAGTCCAAAACAATAGACAGTAAATTGTAGATCACCATCAGCAGAGAAAAATGGCTGAAGAACAAAAAATCGGCACCTTTATGGTCAAAGGTTACAGAGTTTGACATGAGTGGTATCACAATAGGCGTTTTGAAAGCTGCTAAGATAAAATTCTTTCCTTCAGCATACTTCAAAGAGTGACTGACTTAAAGGCAACTGAGCAAACAAAACACAGCCCCTGCTACCCTTTCAGAAGTAACAATTTAACAAAAAATACACCTTTCATCTGTAAAAATTGCTTGCTTTTCTTCATAAAAGGTAATATTTATGGTTAAAGTTGTTAAATTTTGTTGAAAACTTACATGTTTGGCTTTTCTAGTGCACAAGGTGCAGAGAATGTCAACCAAAATCGGTATCGCAAGAGCAATGCAGGTGAGTTTGATCACATCTCCATTGTCTAGTGCTTTGCCCCTTCTTTTGCTGAAGACTTTCTGCAGATTCCTACACGCCTGCGCAGCCAGTGAAGGCAACTCTCGACTCACATTGAATTTAATACCGGGTTTTGGTTGAATGTACACAAATTGGTGAAAATCAGGATCGTCCATTGTCTTGATGCCTAACTGAGGGACCGACTGTTCAGGCCCTATAAATAGGTTCCTCTGCTTACTAATGGAACCTGGGCGTGAACAAACTGTTACTCGGGCATAACAACTTTAAAAGCTAATGGCCAGGGTGGTACCACTTTCGGCCGGTGCAAAAGGACAGGCGGTGGGTTAGGTGCTTTGGTCAAATTGTCAACTGTGGGGTGTGAGGCGGAGTCCCCTGGACTACAAACAGCCAACCTTAACACTGCTTAATTGCCTGTGGAAGGTGAGGTGGGCACTTGTCCTACACCAAGTTTTAAAGTGCTAAGTAGGCATTGCGCCGGGTGAAGTGCTCGGATAAAGAGTTGGACTGAAAATTTCCCCAGTCTTTAAATCACTTGCAGCTATTAATTGGAAATGGGTATGATTTAACTTGAATTTTGTCTAAGATTCATAAGAGTGACTAAGAGGAGATGAGCATGGAAAGAAATTTGTATAATTTTGGGATTTAAATGTGTGTCAATATCATTTTCCAACAGTCATTGCTGTCACTGCTTCTTCCCAATGAAAGCCAACAACTTATTTATTATTAGCATTACGCCAAAGTTACTTGCTAGTGATGATTTTGATTGTCATAAATTAATTGTCATCACTGCCACACTGGCAGACAGAACGACGGATTGAATCAACACAGTATTCCTGTCATCGATGCCAGCGAAGACTTTGCTGACCATGTGGCCTTCTTGTGGTAATGACAATTAGAGGCGGATCTGACCAGAAGCTTGGCTTGTCGTTTGCAAGACAATTTGCGGAGGCTGGCCTTCTAGCCCACCTCAGGCCCAATCCCTTTTTATCCTTTTAAAATCATGTTTGAAACAGCGTTAACTTAATGCATTCCTCAAAACACTGAGGTCGACACACCAGAGGTAGTGGAATGCAGATTCAAATTTTAACGACTTCTCTCCTACTATGTGTCGTCTGCGACACATCTACGATGCGGAGAAAGGGCACATAATTTGGACAGGAGATGCCCTCTTGCCTGCGTTGGGCTCCACCCTATTTTCGTCTACTACACAGCGCAGGATCATGCTGAGCTGGCAAGTACGAGGGCCATATAATGAAGCTGTCGCACTCCTCTATCCCAATATCATGTGTGGCCGACATGAAGCGGAGCTTCACACTGGCGGGAAGGGCAGTGTACGCCTGTAGGTGTCTGTTTAGTTGAAGAAGACAAAGAAGAAGAAGAAGAAGGAAGGGACGACAAAGGAAAAGAGCTGTTGCTGACGCAATTTCGCTAACAATGCGTCGGATAAGTTTCTGCCTTCTACTTTCCTATGGTACAATCTCGTCGTAACGGTCTCGACGTCTCGGTGTCATCAAACTCGAAACCACTGCACCACCACGAAAACCAACATCTGCCTCCCTTTACCATAGTCAGCAATATCCGAGTGCTAGTGGCAAGAGGAGCCCCACATGGTCTTCATCAGTACACTTGTTACAACTTCGAGGGTCGACTGCTAACCGTGTCTCCCAAATCGGCCCCGCTCACTTGAAGTATCGACGACTGCCAATGGCTTGATTGCCCTTCACATGCATTCCTACCAATCTTCAAGGCATGTGCTCACCGAGGAGAAGGCGGATTGGAGAATGCGGGAGTTAAGTTCAAACTCATGTTAGGTAGCAATGCTCAAGTGGTGTTGATTTGCCTCTCTATCACAAGCGAACGCACAGATCTCTTTCGGCTTCGCAGCAGGGCACACAAATGAGAGCCTTTAGGGAATGCAGGAGAAAGGGTAACGCAGAAGTAGGCACGAAGAAGCACATGAAGTAGGTGGAGTTGGGTTGCCTATTATAGCTAGCTTCCGTTTAGCCGCCAAGCGCGGTGCCAAGCATGCTCGTGCAAACAGGGGCTAAGCTCACTCACCTTGCTGGTATCCATCTGCTCCTGTTCATGGTATGAGCGGCAAAATGAGAGTATACACACCATGGCGAAAATACTGACCAAGTAGATGACTTTGCTAGGCGTCTGCACTCCCGATCGCGGTCATACCACATACATGCAAGTGAACATTGAGCAGCCGACTCCTGTTGACCACCGCCCAAACCAATTAGCTGAACGTCAATGAAGGACGCAAAACGCACTGAGTCACGGTAACCGTGCAGCTGGCATTACTTTACCTCTATGAGTATACAGGGAAAGTGGAGAAGTAACATGTCAAAATGCAAGTCTAAAAAGGCGACCAGAGCTCACGGCACCGCTAGAGTTAAGCACCACATGGCGTATGAAGCAACGAGTGTGCTACTGGAATTAGTCATGTCCATTTGCGTGCTTCTGCCCTGTGCATTCGCCACAGCACCAATTTTGTGCTTTGACATTACACACACTTGTCCTTTCCCACCATTCAGCTGCAGCACGCTCAACAATTCAGGGAGAGGGTCACTTCGACCAATACGGCATCTAAGGGAGCCACATGACATCTGAAGCTCAATGGCCACCAAAGTAAATGAAAACAACGAACAACACCCAAAACAATTATTTCTCGATTAACGCCCATTAAGGGAGGAAATGCTAGGTGGAGGAGGAGGAGGAGGAGGAGGAGGGGAATAAGGACCGCTTGTAGAATTGACATCTACCATCTACGCGTTGACGGTGTTCGTAGGCATCTTTCCTATTGTTGTGAGGGCACCGCCTCACCCGTGGCTGTCGTCTAGCAACACTGCTACGACCAACTCCACGGTCGCGCACATTGCGGAGCCACCGCAGGCGACCATGTTTGCGGCATGATACACTGAGCTCTCTGCACCCACCACCACCACCACCACTCCACCCCACGGTGTCGACTTCCATGTATACGAACAGGGCTAATTGCCGCTCTCCATCTGTTTGGCCGTCTCCTTCCTCCTCTCCAACCCATCTGTGTGGTGAGCCGCATTCTCTCATATACTTCTCGCCTTGTCTCCGACTCCTCGTCCTCAACACTCTCCACCAACGCTCGTAATCGGATAAGGCAAGCTGGTGTCTGCAGCGACGTGGTGCGCACGAGTGGACATGTGACTGACGTAGCACGACGTGTTGATGTTGCTGTTGATGGCAATGATTGTGACAATCTGAAGGTAGTGTTGTGTTATAACGCATACTGCTGAATCATGACGATTTGACTGTTAGCTCTTGTTGACATGCAGTCGTGGCATCGACTAGGTGCACACATTTTGTAGCTCATCATTCCACATTTTCTTTTCATTTCATTCTACCTGAATCACACACGTTCATTCACCACTCACTTGCCTTTGTGCCCCAGTCTATTACCTAATTTGTGTACTGTTTGCGAATCGTCAGTTAGATGTCAGTGCGACGGTTGCATTACAGTTCGTTGGAGCCGACGTCTGCGGATTAAAAGTTATTGCAGGTTTCTAGGGGAAGGGGAAGGGGAAGGCAGCGATGTTAGCAGATCTCTGACAATAATTGGCACCGGTGATCCGTTCACCAATCATCGCTCAATCTCTTCCACCCCACCAGATGACTCTCACTCGAGATTGGTGAATGATGAGACCAAAGTTGTTGGGGTAACGCTAGTAACAAGGTCAGGGAATTGATATGAGGATGAAATTAGTTTGGGTGCTTACAAGGGTTAATTAGGTGTCGTAGCTGCGTACTTGGAGGCTTTC